AAACCGCGGTTAGACCTGCAAAAACTCAGCTCGGACCGCGATTTTCTCGGTTCTCACCGCGGTATTTGCAAACCGCGGTTTTCGCCGGTTTCAAAAACCGCATAAAAGGTCTGACTTTCGCGGTTTATGAAACCGCGGTTTTTTCTTGAAACATTTTTCCGTGGGTAAATCTATTTTCTTCATTGTTTGGGAAATCTGAAATCACTGCAACAATATAAATTCAGAGAAACTACTTTGTTGATCACAAAAAATCACTATTTTCTCTATGAAAGTAGAATTAAGCGTTAAGACCCTTGAGAAATATCGCAACAAGTCTCTTTCTATGGATATCTAACGTTGCAATGATATTCTTTCGAGAAGTTATCGTTCAAAATGTAGTTGATGTAACCTATTTGTGATTATTGGATCATCGGAATAAGGACAAAGTAGAAATTCCCATGTTGCGAAAATCGCCACGATTTCAATGATTTTGCAAAAAAAACGCGATTATAGGAAAAGAACCGATTTTTAATAAATCGATGACAAATCACGTTTAATCATCGATTTCGATAACTGATTGTGAATTATGAGTTAATTCGAGAAATATTTCAATATTTATTAAACTAATAGTCAAATATAATTTTGACACAGTTATTTAACATCACTATGAAGATTTGAAACCAGAAGAAAGATTTGGTTTCTACATGGATGTCACTACTGTGACATGAATAAGATTGGATAATTTCGAAAAACGAGCGAGCTTCATCTCTCTTTCACATACATGCATTCATTTCAAAATGTTTTTTTCGATCATACATAATTTGTTTTAGATATATTTTAAGCTTGAGTATTTTTTTTTCAATTAGACTTGTTTCACGTAGACCAAGTTTTAGATAACTTTGTTTATTGATGATATATGTAAACCGAAAAAATTTGAGTTTTATACTATATAACGACGTCTCAAATCATCATCGTATCCTATGCTTCTCGTTTAAAATTTTTATTCATTTTCTTTTTCTTAGATTTTTAATTTCTGAACGATTACAAACACATACACAAAATCATATAGAATATCGTTGAATAAAGGGAAAAATCGACTATAAAATCACGATTTATCGCAAAAATCGTTGAAATAATCGAGAAAAATCGCCAATTTTTTACTGATTTTAAGGACACGGGAACTACCTGATAAGACCTTAAAGCAAGTTCGGAACATGTCGTAGCTTACTCGACAAAACTACACTCTCGCTGAACTCATACATACCACCTACATTCCGCATCAACTTATATCCATGCACAAACAACAAAACTCACCCACGCCCTGACAGAAATCAAACATAATGATCTTTGGCTTACATCTTTAAAAAAAACGCCGCTGATCAAAGGTGAGTATAACCGCTTCGTTAATATATTTTATGACTCATTCCAAGAAACAACACACTAGAAATTAACCAACACTCGATAGCCTTGTGTGATCCTTTAAATCTATTATCTTCTAAATGTATAGCTTGTTGATATATTGGATAAGAATTCGTACGAATTCTATATAGATTTCATCGCTTGTTCATTGATTTAAATGGCTTTCATCGATATAATGTGATGTAATGATAGATTTAAAATGTGCCTGATGACTTCTTTGAGCAAGGACGGAACCCGTTAGAATTGCTCTGAATACACACTCACACCCGCATCCTCATTTATAAAGATAATATATAAAAATCATGTTATAAGACCCTTGAGTGGGGTCGAAACATGCCGTGGATTGCTTGACACATCTGCACTCGTCATATCACACAGTGACGACACAGAAAAGCATGTACATTTTTATTTTTTTTTACATACATACAAATTGCAAACAGAGAGGTATTTAAATATTGTAATTATGTGGATGCTAATTGTCGGATGTTGGATGTTAGTATGTGTGAATGCGAGTAAACAATATATACCCATACCCATCTTGGATCTAGGCTAGCTAATGCATGTATTGGTAATGCGTAGCTATTTCGAAGTAGCTTTCGGCTAAAGGCTATCTCCTGCTACAACCAATCTCGATGACAAACAATTTCAGTTTCTTTCACATGACATGGAAAAGATCAGCATCATGTGCAGCAACTATATTATGAGCTATCTGCTAAATCATTAGATTGTCTTTGTGACCACAGCCGTAGAATATGATGATCTTCAATCGTATTTTAGGAAACCCTTTCAAAATTCCAGCAACTAGATTGGTGATCATACATATATTTGGGGTGTGGATGAAGAGAAGATAAAAACTCACACCTACACCCACACTCCATCGTAATCAAACAGTTCAGATCTGACTGTATTCCATAAGTAGCATTAAATATGTGCCTTTGACTATTACCCTTGCTTAAGACTAACTTTTTATCCTTGATTTATCGTATTGTAATCTATCCCTCCAACTCCTTAGTTTTTCGTCGCAAATATCGTTACTGTGCTTTGAATATATTGTATTCTTGCATGTTGACAGGAGTATTACTCAAATACTTATCATATCAAGATAGCCGATTCCTAAGCCGATTTAATCATCTCAATAGCTCAGTCTAGTTCACATCTACGGAACTGATTATCAACATTGCGTGTAAATTCAATCTGGTTGACTAGTGCGATCAAAACTGTCGCTTTACCAAGGCATCGAAACGTTGTTTCGTAGACATGGATACTATTCTCAGTGTCTAAGATGTTGATTCTTTGATTTCATGTATATTGCATTGAAGATGAGCTTTGTGCCGTTTCGAAGCGTGTTCCGCATCTAAAACACTTTAGAAAAGATATAATGATATGATTATTGAAAAACGAACATATTTAAACATCAGTTCGATTGCCTTTTTATACTAAAAAATTTCACTTACGGATAAAAAACTTTGTCAACTCATAGAACGTTCCTTGTGTCATGAGATATTGTCAAATGTGAAAAAACCAACAGAATGAGTGAATGGCACTTCAAAAATTTATTTTTCGACTATGATAAAAAAAGCTATTGAAACAAATCTGTGCTTTTAACTTGCATTTCTTGTACTTCGAAAGATAAATCATAAAAAAAAAACCTTGCTCGTGATATTCTTGGTGACTCATTCAAAAGTACCGATGCGGCAACCGCTTTTGTTTTCCTTTCTTTTTGAAAAAGAGAAGAGGAAGAAAACCTTGTCAGTTTAAGACGAATGACAATCGGGTATACTCTAGTTGAGAATCTCAATAACTTATTAAGTAAAAATCGATAAATAATGGAAACTACTATTGTTAGTAGGCTTTTCAACTGATAAAATTGCGAGGCTTGTTTGACTTTTATTGAGAATATCAGTGATATAATGCAACGAATTGTAAATACTCAAAAATGAGTAACATTGAAAAAACATTGCTGAAAGAGTTTGGAGAACTGTTTGTCAGTACCCTACGATCTATTCCAATTTAAGAACAGTTAACTTGAAATCGACCAATTTGTGTTCGTTTAGAAACGATGCAGTTTCGTTGTCAGTTGATCATCTACGCATCAAGAATCTTAGAATGTTTTTTTGTATTGATATGCATTATTGATCGTAAAGTAGGTGGAAATGTTGACGAAAAGAAGGTGTAGAACCACACCCTTACAAATTATTGGATTAATATGTCATGAACTCTACGTATTTTTTCATCATGAAAATCTTCTAAAATAAAAATCAGCATATGGAATGTGAGTTTGAATCTTCTCATCGTGTACACATCTACAGTCACACTCAAATCAAGGTATAAGAAAGTGTCTCAATTACCCATGTTCAACTACTCAGATAAGATAGTTCTAACTCAATAATCAAATTGATTGAATAATCCTTTGAAAGCATGTTTCACGTATAAAAAAAGATTTAGAATCATATAAAGGCATGGTATTAATAAACAAAAATTAATGTTCTGCCTCGTTCAATCATGAAGAAAATAAACACTGCAATATCTGTACTTTCCCTAATATTTTTGTATATTAACGTGAGCAAATGAGTCATCTTAAGAATATCCACTGATTATCTCAATCATATCCGTTATATATCCGCCGACGACAGCAGAAAAGAAACATTAACAAACAATTTTCTTCCACTGATGTCAACAAGACAAATAAAGGAATGCTATTTGTACTTGATCTACTATATTGGCAAGAACACAAAAAGGAATATAATCTGTAAGTTTTTTTTGTTGATGTTGGTACAACTCAATTGGCCTTGAATAGCAACAGTTGCTAATGATCCATCATTCATATGGTATCTACATATTATCTGAACTTCTTTGACGAATTTCATAAATCTTTTCAATGTTATTTTCAAGAAATAAAGATATCAAATATTTTTTATCGCCTTATAGTCAATCGTTATGAATCAAGCGTTGAAGTAAGAAAAAGTCTTTTTTTCTCAACAAAAATTTGTAGAATATGGCATCGACAGATTTGTCTTCATGATTGTATAGTATATTAGTTCATTTCATGGCATGTTTAATAAGTATAGTATATTTATTTTATTTGATTATTATCGATTATTCATTTATATATATACTTTTATTCGATACACTAAATGTTCTTTTTCTTCTGTTATGTTGTCTTTGTTTTTCTTTTTTTTCTTCGATTAAGCAAACGAAAAGAAAAACCTGTTTATCTTCATTTGTTTACTACTTATTTTTATCCTATATCGAAAGTAAATACCTATTACTCACATACACACTCAGATAATAAAAATAAAAAAAGTCATTGGTTATTTTCAATATCAATTATTTTCTAAGGTAGTTCAAGAATAATGATTTAATTTTTCAAACAATTTAAATTTTGAATACTTTAAAATCAAAAAGCAGCTTGAAACTAAAGATTTTTTTAAAATTAATTAGATCATTGTTTATGTTTATGAATATCACCATTGATCGATGCTTTTTGAATACACATGACAATAACTATGGAGTTATAAAAGAAATTGAATACTTTTCCTTTTATAACAATTATTGATGAATGATTAATATTTTCTAGATTATCCAACTCTAGATCGATTAGCATGACTTTATCCAAGTTTGATAGTCTCCCACCTGAACTAATCGTCGAAATAAGTGATTATCTAGATGGATGCGATCTATATTATGCATTTTATGGATTAAGTCAACGTATTAATACAATACTCGAGTGGGTTTTATTTTAGAATCTAATAGAAGAATAATTTTTTTTTGTCATTTTTATTTATTTTCAGTCAACAATGTCACTGTCTTCACGTAAGTTTTATTCATATACCAAAAATAAAATTTGATTTATGTTGTAATCGTATCCTACCACGCATAAGTACTCGTATTGTTTCATTAACATTATGTGGTGATTATTCATCAACACCTGGTCAATTGACATTATTTGTATCTCGTTTCAATTCTCTAGCAAGTGTTTTTACTAAACTTGAATCATTCAAATTAACTGAATATACTAAATCTGACGTAGAAATTCTTCTACCACATTTGTCTATGTTGACTCAACTAAAATGTTTGTCAATCGGAGAATATAAACGTTTAATGCCATTTACTATTAATAGAAATGAATTATTCAATGAAAATGTGATACTACCTATTTCATTGCGTAGTTTGGCATTTCCATATGAAGTTTCAAATGAATGGTTTCAACCGTCAAGTACTACAATATCATTCATAGAACAATTACATGTTCATCTTATACATATGAATGTATTGTCTTCGTTTTTACAAAGATTTCCTTATTTGAAACGTTTAACAGCTGTTTTAACTGGTATTAGTCAAAATACTTTACGAATAGGAAATATTTTTCAATCAAATGTTATATTACATAGATTACGATATTTGAACGTAAATATTACACGACGCGTAAGTGTATGATTTGTTTTTTTTTCTAAAAATATTCGAAGAATTCTAACTCAAATTTTCTATTTTTATCATAATAAGTTTAAATTCGTGTTTTTATTTGTTCTAGGTAGTTTTTGATGATTTTGCTCGACTTCTTAGAAGTTTAACTGAACTTCATTCATTATCACTTGAAGCACTCAATCCTGAGTTAGAATTTTTGCAAGCTCGTCGCTGGGAAACAGTTTTACCATTAAAACTTTCTGTATTTCGCTTTGACTTGACAATGACATTACCATCAAATCCTGATCATCTTGAACTATTCGAACCATTCAAAAGTCAGTATTGGGTATCTCGTGGTTGGTTTGTTCAATGTCGTTTACGAGATCGTGGTCGTTTTTTTCGCTTGTCTACGATTCAATCACCTATAATTACTATTCTCTATTGGCCAGATGATGAAGTATTACTTGACTCATCAACTACAACCGTATATTCAAATGTTACTCACATTGAACTTTGGTGGAATTTATCGAAATCAACCCAAGCAATATGTCCTAATGTACGTTCTATTCAATTATATGGTGCTGGTAATTCTAAAGATGAACCTGTTCATCGAAATATTTTTGATATTTTACAAAATCCATCACTTGAACATATTATTATTAATGATAATCTACCAATCACTCATACGAGATTTGCATCGATTTTTGATATATCATCAGATAATATTCAAACATTGACTTGTTCTGCTCGTTGGTTATTATCAATGTTAGAACATAAACAATATGAATGGATTTGTCTATTAACCACAATACGTATTCGAAAGTTGATTATTAATAGTGATGATATCATTGTGTCTGAGACGAATTTAATTGCTTTTTGTCGAACGTTTATTAATTTACATGAAATAACAATGAAAATGAAATCAAAAGAAGATTTATTTTTTCTTTTAAACATACTTGAAAACTTAACTATGGCAAATATTGAATTACCCAGCATTGCTTTCGATAATATTACTGATAATAGGAAATTGATTGAAGAAAACACAATACTTGTCGATTTTGTTGTTCGTAAACAAATTATTTCATTAGATACTTGTAGATTAATTCTATGGATTGGTTCACGTCGCATTTCAAATCTTCAACGAACAAGAAGTGATCTATATTTAAAACATCCGATTATTCATCAACATTTGTCATAGATTTCATATTTATTGATTAAATAATATTGCATTTGTCCTCTATCATAAATTTAATAAAAGACAACAGAAACATCTGTATGTGCAATTTTATCAATCCTTGATTAGTGTGTTTCTAAAATTCAATAATTGATCAAGATGTACTACAATTTCTATTGTGATCCTTTTAGACGTAGATTGGACTCTCTTGTGTGATTACTTTCTCTCTTCTTTTTCTATGCTCCTTCAAATGGAGTACACATGGACGTAGCCAAGAACATTTGCAATCACAACCTCCATCTGCTAGGAATCTCACTAATATCTAAGAGATGACATGGTAATTGAAACGATAGCAGAACAAAACATGTATTCTCAATCTTTTTTGTCGACACTTTTAATATAAACTGATTGATAAGTTTTGTGCTTGAGATATGAAAATGAGACTAATATAGAGGTATAATAGAAAAGATTAGGTAACTTATATCACTTATTTTTATTCTGATGATAGATTTGTATCAATAGTTGGCAATGACTGTTCCATCGCATGTTCTAAACTTGTGCTAGAGCAACTTTCTTTTTTTCGTTTCCTCTGAAAAGAAATTTTCTTTCGTAAATTATGTCCAGAGAGCATTGTTTTAATTAATTCAATATTTCGTCCAATTTCGATTACTTGAACTCGTTTCGTTTCCTAGGTAATAATCCATGAGTTTTTGCTTGTTATGTGTATGCTCATTGATAGCATGATTCACATCTGGATGTCGATAAAAGTAGAAAAAATCTTTTCGCGAAGTAAAATTGCTCTCTTTCATTGGTGAAATTTTCTTTCTGAAAAGTTTTTTATTACCTACATGCATTGATGATTCGTTCTTCCTTCTTAAGTACAAAAGTATTCGCATTTATCCATATAAATCATTTTACATTCAATGTGTCTCATATTTTGACATTCGATCATTTATTAAACAAATTAATCATATATAGTTTTTCCCTATTTAAAGCCGAGGAGAATTTTTATTCATTTTTTATTACAATGATCATCTGAGAAGATTGGTGAAACGTCATGTCACATACAGTCGTAGTGCACTTAGAAAAGATATTATTACAAGATTGTCAACATATTTTATTTAATACTAATGACAGACGAACAAGCATGTTATTCGTGAGGTCCATGTATTTTTGATTATGATACTGGTATCCACTGGCATTTTTAAACGAAACACGAAGTTGTGTACTATGGAAAACATTAACAATAATTTGGTCCACAGGAAATATGGATTCTACTGTGAATCAATTGCATCAAGTTTTTGCTCAGGTATGAATACTCAGGGCGATATGCATTCTTGATATGAAGATATCCACACCATCGTCATTGGTCTTTTAAGCCTAACTTTTTGTCAAGTGAATTCCAATAAGATATTTAGTAGCTTGTGATTACCCTTGAGGATAATATAATAAAGGTGAGTAGGGTGCTTCTTAACGATCGAAAAAGATTGATCGTATTTTACATCATTAATCCGACAAGAATGCCGTTGAAAGCTTTTTTCATACACTTTTGTTTTTGTCTTTTTCTTTTCATATTTAAGTATTAGCTCTTATACATAATTACATAGAAGATAAGAAGGATAAAGAGAAAAAAGGTTATATTTAAAGGGACAGATGTACATTACAATACTTGGTAAATAACAAGCAAATTTAACAAATCGGAGCAATACTTTACACGTATAATATCATGTAAGTTTCCTTTTTATTATAATAATTGATATGAAACAAACTATAATTCATAATCTATGCAATACTATGTAGAAGATTTGAACCACGTGAGAAGAAAAGAGAAGATATTTGAGAACGTTTGTATGAACGAGATTGATAGATAATTCGTATATTTCATTTTCCTGAATCAGTTCAATCATTCGAAACAATATTTAGAAATAAAATAATTATTCATAATCGTCAGTAGAACAAAAATGCTAAACTATCGATCGTTGATAAACAATACTAATGTCATAAAATATGTCATTAAACGTATATTGTTAGGATAAAAAGCTTAAGTGGACAAACCGAGTCGTTTATGACTTGCAAGCAATTGAGATAACTTTTCTTCAGTGTAATCATATGGGTGTGATTATTGGATATCGCATCTAGTTTCGAATATGGCAGTTCTCAAAAATAGGTTTTTTTTCTAAAGCTCAAATAAATTCATTTTGATGATATTGAGTTGCTTTATCTTTCCATCATTTGTTATTAGTATTTTACGAAATTCGATGTTTCAATGCAGAACAAAAACAAGTCTGAATAATGATAGACCTCGAAAAATTAATAATAGTGATGATGTTTCTTTTTCTGTAAGAAAGAGATGCATTGAAAAAGACGATGGGTAGAGTAAAAGAAAAGAATAAGAAACAATGTGCACGGCATAAAAACAGATAAGATAGAACAATGTACAGGGGTACATAAGTTAGAACGAATAAATCAGTCTAATCAGTGATATATCATTGCTGATAGTTATGACAAATGCAATAAGCTAGAAGACACAAACTGAATAGCAACAGAAGCGACAAGTTACATATTTATAAACTTTTAAAGTCAGAAAAAGGTTTCAGCATAAATCCTACTGGATTAAAGCGCGAAACATGATAGAGCCATTTAAATTATGACCAAGGGACCTAATAGACATTTTGAAATATCTGTCGTGTAAAGTGGAGAGTGCACCTTCCTCCTTAAATACATCAACACTCATTTACAATCGTGATGCATAAAAGATGAACTTAGCTCACGTCAATAGCTTCGATACTCACTTCCGTGAATGCTGGTTCGAAAACTATCAAGAATGGTACTAAACTCGTCTTTCATGCACTTATCTAAGACACAATACACTTTGATATGCGTATATTAATAGTTTCTGAGAAAAGTGAAAGTGATCTTCCTAGACGTTGCCACATATTTCTCTGATTTTGTCTTTTTCTCAGAAAAATTAGATTAAACCTAAGATGGATTTCAGACTAATCAATAGAAACAAACAGTAAATATTTTATTAAAAACTTATTCAATAAAAGTGGTGTATATGTTAAAGTTCATTTTTTTGGATCAATTTTCTGACTGTTTTATTCTATGACTCATGAAAATTGTTTCTCATCAAAGTAATTAATTAATTCATTGTGTTTTGAGAGCTTTTTTTCTTTTTATAAATTTCAGATTACAAATTCCTAAACACGATGGAACAATTACAGAATTTTCCATTCTCATCAATTGCCGAAGCTCTTGAATATCAAGCTCAAACGAGACCAGAGAAAACTGCCATATTGTATCCTGATCCAAATAAGGATTCAAAAGAATATGCATCTCTTACTTATAAACAATATAACAATATTGTCAATAATCTAGCTGATAAAATTTCAAAATATTTACCATCTTGTTCATTAGACGAATCAATTACATGTGGTCTCTTAGCAGTTGGTGGCCTCGAATATTTATTATCTCAGTATGCATTATTAAAATTGCCGAATGTTATTATGTTTCCAATATCAGCCAGAAATTCTCAAGCAGCAGTAGAATATTTATTGCAAGAAACAAAAACAGCTCTTTTACTAACAACAACTCAATATTTATCAATGATAAAAATAATTCAACAACAACAACAATTTCAATCATTAAAAGTTATTTTTTTGGATAAAGATGATTTTAAAACTGAAGAATTATTAAAAAACAAAGATATCGAATGTCCTGTGACATCAAATATTATCACATCGAGAAAAGATAAAGATAAAGAATTTAATAAAGTAGTTGTCATCCTTCATAGGTAAGAATTATTGCTTTTTACAATATATAACTATATGCTTTTCAATGGTCATTGTTTTTTCGTATCTATCGTTTTCTACTTTTTTTTTTTCTAGTTCTGGAAGTACAGCTCATCCAAAACCTATTCTTTTAACAAATCGTTATTTTCTAGCTACATTAGCTTTATATTTATACATCAATAAAGATTTCTGGCAAGAAGACGATGTCATATTAGTATGGGGAGCATTGTAAGTTTGTTTGTTTTTCTATTAAGTTCGATATTATATTTGTATCGAGTTTCTTCAACTTTTTTTTTCAGATTTCATTTACTAGCATTTAATGTAACAGTACGTGCTGTTGTAATAGGACTCACATATGCACTACCTCTCTGTGTTACTTTTCCACCAAAGCCAGATGAATTGTTACTCAATATACAAGTTAAAAATCATATTACAGCCTTAGTTACAGTACCAAGCTTGCTTGAGCAAGTTACACGAGAATTACTTTCTGAAAAAAATAGTAATATTGGCTTAAAACCACTAGAAAAATTGAAATATGTTATGTATGGTGGAGCTGGTTGTCCAGATGAATTATGTAGAACATTAGTTGATAATGGAGTTGCATTGATAAGTGTTTATGGCGCAACAGGTAAATTTATTATCATTTTTTTTTCGTAAATTATCTCAATTGAAATATATTTCTGTTGTAGAAGCTGGCATGATTCTAGTGAAAGATTTCAATTCTTATGATAAAAGATGGAAATTTATGCAACTTCCTGATATTCGAAAAGCTTTTGTTCGCATTGAAACACCTCAAAATTCACAAAATTCAAATGAAAAAATTTTAATTCATTTACCAAATGATCCATTCTTAGCAGAAAATGTTTCTAATTGTTCCGATGGTTGTTATACAACTGGAGATATACTTCTCGAAGATCCACCTAATTCTGGACAATATCTCGTTTTAGGACGTCAAGATGATACTTTAGTTCATGTCAATGGTGAAAAAACAAATCCAATTCCAATGGAAGATATTATTCGACAATCACCTCTTATTAAACAAGTTGCTATTGTTGGTCATAATCAATTTTGTACAGCTGCATTGATTCAATTGAATATTGAAGAAGCATTTAATTATGATTTTGATGAAATTCAAGAAAAAATATGGAAAATTGTTGAACAAGCCAATAAAGAAGCACCATCTCATTCACGTCTTGTTCGACAACTTGTTAAAATTTTACCAATGAACAAAACTTTACCTGTTACACATAAAGGAAATTTAATGAGACCAAGAGTTAATCAAGAATATTCGACATTAATTAGTACGATTTATGATAAATTTTTGAATCAAAAGTATGAAGAACAACACAAAAATGAAATTATTCATCAAAAAGAACGATCCCAACAATGGACAAGAGAGACCATACGAAAATATTTAGAAGAAAAATTGAAATCATTTGTGACAAAAATCAATGATACTTCTCGATCAATCTTTGATTTTGGCGTTAATTCATTACAAATTGTTGAATTAAGAAATTTTATTTGTCAAGATATATGTGAAATACCAAAGAATTTTCTCTATGAGCATTCTTCAATTGAAAAAATGACTGAAAAATTGATGGACTATCTTCAACATAAAAATATTGAAAATCAACAAAATGATCCATATCATTATAAATTAACTGAACAAATTATTGATAAATATATTGATTTAATGAAATCAAATAAAATTTCATTGATTAACACAAGAAAGAATAAACAAGCACAGCGTGTTTTTCTTGTCACAGGTTCAAATGGATCATTAGGAAGTTTCATTATTCGAGATTTACTTAAACAATCAGAATCAATTGTTAAACGTGTCTATTGTCTTTTACGTGGTTCAAATACAAAAGAACGTCTTTTTCAGTCATTTGAACAACGACAATTAGATACTTCTCTTTTAATAAAATCATTAGAACACGAAAACAAACGTCTTATTATATTGTCATCATCAATGAATTTAAGTGATGAACATTTAGGTCAAACTGATTTAATTTATCAACAATTACAAAACGAAGTAACAGATATAATTCATTCAGCATGGAAAATGAATTTTAATCAAACGATTAAAGATTTTGAATATGATTCTATTTTTGGTGTTTATAATCTTTTGAAATTAGCAAATTCGAATAATATGCAATTTCATTTTATTTCAAGTATATCATCAGCTAGTTCTGGTTTATTGAGTTATGTTAAAGAAGAACCATTACCAAGAAAACCTGAAATTGCATTACCACAAGGATATGGACAAAGTAAATACGCTGGTGAACATTTATGTTGGGCAGCAATGAATTTATGGAGTAAATTTTAAGCTTGTTTTTATATATTATTTTTGCTTTCCAAACCTCTTTTTTTTTCAGATGTTCCAGTCAACATCTATCGTGTCGGTCAAGTAAGTGGAGATACAGAAAATGGTGTATGGAATACAACTGAAATGGCTCCTATGATGATTTATGCTGGTGCTGGACAATTAAAAAAAATGCCAAATATTGGACAAGATATTAATTGGATACCTGTTGATATTTGCAGTGCTGCATTAGTTGATTTAGCATTGAAATCGTCATTTGATATATCAATATCGACTGATCAACGTGTTTATCATCTTCTCAATCCACATGTTATTACATATGAAGATTATCTAAATTTTCTTCGAGAAGCAGGTTTACATTTTGATACGGTCTCTTCAAAAGAGTTTATTGATGCTATTATAACAACAAAGGATTTGACTAATCCACTTATTAAATTATCATCATTCTTTGAACAAATCTTTAGTAAGAAAGATACATTGAAAGTATCAAAATATGAAACTTTGAAAACGGTTGAAAGATGTGAAATTTTAAAAAATTGTCCATCAATTGAGTCAAATTTAATTAAATTATATTTAAATTATTGGAAAAAATGTCAAGTACTTAAAGAATAAAAGTAAACATTATAGAGAATTGCCAACTTTAAATTTTACTTTAAATTTAATAATATTTTTTTGTATTTCCAATTTTCAAGTTTTTTTTTTTTACATCTATCTTATCAATTCACATTAAATTTTTCCCTTTTCTGAAAGAAATAGTTATAACGCAGAAAAACATCCGAAATGCATATATCTAGCTAAGCCAAACAAAAAGCGGTAAGTATGAATTGATAATTGCTTAAGAAGCTTCAGCATAAATAATCAAGGATGGAGAATCGAGACACAAGGTCAATTTTTAATCTCAATGTACTTTCGTTAGAGATAGTTACATTCTGGAGACAAGAAATAGTTCAATATATGAGTGTAGATGTCAGGTATTGAAGAAGAACTACTTCAACCATACCCACACCCTCCGTTGTAGTGATTTGTAGTTTGTTGATAGTGTCTTCCGTCTTCTGTTTTTTTGAAATAAATTTTTCGACTATTTTTAAAACATGTTCTTTGAGCTTCACATTCATTCACCAAAAATATCCTTTCCTCTCAAATCATCATCAAATCGATATGCAGTTACCTTTTGGTTTTTGTCGCTGCAAAAAGTTCATATCACTGTTTTCTGTTTCCACAAAAAATGTAATCAATAATGATTTTACAATACATTATGCATTTCATATCGAGTTCGTACAGTTTTTTCAGATATATTTCGTTTCCTTTTTATTTCTGTTTTCAATTTATTTCAATTATTGACCATACACATTTATGATTAAACAATTTTCAAAAAAAAATTTTTTTTATTTTTTTCGTCGTATAGACACAATATTTTTCAAATCCTTCATAACTTTTGACGAAGCAGCTTTGGATGGTAACTCAATACTTCTTTCACGGTGAGCAGCATAATTTTCTTGACCAAATTTTATTCCATTGACTTGCTGTCGAATTTGTTCTCCAGTGATAGGTAATTCATATAGAGTGCCAACCAGATCGAAAATCTCTTCAGGATTCAGAGTATCTGTCATATCTCCTGACTCTTTCTGCTCTCTTATTGCATTTTTAAATAATTCCATATTGTTTGTAAACTCATCCATAGTTTTTCGTAGACCAGCTATGATTTCATCATTACGAGCACCAGCATTCTGTTTCATCTGTTCTTCACGAATGAAATATTGAAGATAATCTAAAATATCATCATTTATTGGAAGAATAGAATTTGCATGAAGAAATTTTGCTAATTGTTTATAAACATCTTGAATTTTTGCTGCTTCTTCTCGTAAATCACTAATACGTTTATCAATGTCACTCAAAGACATTCTTTGATTTCTTTCTCTACTTCTAGTTGTAGTTGTATTGATATGAGTACGATTTGTTTTGTATTCATAAGTGATATGCTTATGTTGCAACCAGTGGCAGTCACATACTGTACAGAAACCTAAATAAACAAAATAGGATGCCTTAGGACTAGCATGTAGTGAGTTAGTTTGTATGGAAAATTCAAGCATTCAGAACTTGATACTATTGTCATGATGAGTAAATAAGACGTTATTATCAAGTTCTTGAGTCCTAGAAAGTTAAACAAATGATTATCATAAGACACTACTTTGTTCTTTTCCGACCATGAGTCAGAAAATTCTTTTTTCCCTTCTAACATAAGAACGAAGATGAATGTTACACAAGGACTAAAACCGATTTTCTCTTTGAAACACTGTGAAGTATGTGCAATTCGTGTCTTTATATATGAAAGCATACGGCTAAACATTTCGTTTGATATTATCTAGAAGTCAGACCTTTTTAACAGTATCTGTCCCAGTGTTTAATACAGCACAAAGACTGAGAGGGGAGGGATTCCCTCTGAAAATTGAGTTTACTAGCGACCCTATACATCAATGCTTTTCTACAGATTAAATATTTCATTTTGTTAGCAATATTTTTAAAGTGTACTAAGAAACTAAATATTAAAACAGAAAGACTTTTACTGTATTACCATCTTCAGGATTCATTGCTGTGCATTCTTCTAATTTTGGATCATACAATGTTTCTTGTACGACACCTTTCAAATAACATTCATCATGACATATATGTAGATATTCAATTTTTTTTTCATCATCTACATCAATAATTCGACAGCAATTTTCACCCACACAGACTGTTCGTGGATGTCTAAGTTGGATAACTTTAGCCTTATTCTGTGGTATTCCTTCTAACGCAATTTCAGGATTACTGAGTACTTTATTTTTATGTTCTTGAGCAAGTTGAATATTTTCTTCGATAAGTTTTGCTGTTTCAGCAATTGGACGTGGAAGTTTTCGAATAAGTTGTTCAGCTTCATTCAATGAAATTGTATTAGCTACGGCATGCAGCGGACGTGTAATCATATGTGACATAAAACGACTATATTCTTTGACAGAATGATCCCAACTTCTACTATAACTTTGTGTTTGTTGATCATCCAATTGGATACCATTTTTACGTACTGCTAGATAACGAAATGGTTCGTTATCAAATAAAAATGTATTTTCCTTTGAAAATGGTATTACGACGCCATGTTCATCTTGATGTTTTCGTAGCAAATTTTCAACAAGTTTTTTTGTGTTACCAGGCGCAAAGAATGTTGCTCGTGCATTTGTAAAGATAAAAATTAAATTTTCCTTTGCATTGACATGTAAATGTCGAAGAAGTTCATTGACACAAAATCGAAAAAGTATAGTTAAACGTTCTTCATTTGGTTTAAGCAATATACATACTCCATTCAAATGTTCATATTGCGCAAGATAAGATAATATTTCATGAAAATTGTTTTTATCTTGTTCAATTCCTCTAGTATCACCGATGCCTGGTGTATCGATCATACGTAGATTTCGATCACCGATTGGAAAAACAAAACTTCGACATTGCTTAGTACTTGATTCGCCATCAGCAAGAAAGTTTTCGTTATCATTCTGCTCACCAATAATGATTGTCTTCTCATCAAAAGACTCTGGCATAGTGAAAGAAAATGAAGAAGGAATAATGACTTGCATTTCATCTTGGACTGCATCTTCAAGAGTATCATTAACAATATAGTTAGCAAAAGCATTAATAAATGTGGTTTTTCCAACTCCTGTTGGTCCCAATAATAGTATGTTTATTTCCTGCTCTCGAGGGCAATATGGATTCGGCTTTAAAGCAGATTCGTCTTGTACTGGATAGTTCCATGCCATTTTGATTGTTGATCGTTTATTTTAAAAATACTAAAATGAAAGACTTAATATGAAGAATATTTTTCGAAATATTACAATTATAACATATTAAACGAAAGATAAACGCACTTCACACAAGATAATTTTTTTCTCTTCCAAACATGCTTCTATGATAATGTGCACAACGTTCGTCAGAAAATTGTCAAAGTTTTGTTGATCTCACGTTCTATTCTTTGTAGTCTACGTAAAGGTGAATGACGGAAGAAAGAGAACTGACATACACAACACAAAACTAACTCACTCTCAGTGTTCACTTTCATTTTCTTCAAATTTAACGTCGAAATATTGTCATTTCATCTCATTGTTGACAAAGGTGCTATACCGATAGCGTACACACTTGGAAAAAACCTAGCTCTTAAGATTCTCTAATGTCAATAAGAAAATTCTCGTTTTTTTCTTTATCAGAAGAAGGACAATTTCGAGGTTTTTTTTCTAAATCTTCTTTCAGTTACCTATTTGTCACTTATTCTGTAGCAATAAAGCATAAGAAAAAAAATATATTCGAAAGTAATAGTTATTGACATACTCTTGATGTGAGAAGAATAAGTAAAATTTGGTGGCATACAAAAAAAATTCATGCGACAACCATCATTGTTTTGGTGACGTTTTTAACAGTGGTGTGCAAATATAAGAAAAGAAAGAACAAACAATGTTTTTTTTCCAACTTACATTTCAATGTGTTGAAAAACAATAAATTTACGCAAATATTATATTGAAACACAACAATCGACTTTGGATAACTTGTATCATAACTCATGCTTCCATTAAGAAAAAAACAAATATGAAAATATTGAGATTTTTTGATATTTAATCAGTCGAGAATGGTGATTCATAGAACGAAGACATGAGCAAGAACAAAAACTCACGCGATCAAAGGAACGATCGATTCGCATATATTTACTACTTGGAATATGCCAAGAAAAGACAAGGAAAATTTTCCATGTACAATGTTACTACATTACAGACTATTGTCTTCACTTAGAGTGGACCAAAATATTCCATTTTATTGATATATTCTTTTAGTAGTATTAATGTGGCTTATGAGAATCAAAGGAAACAAAAAACAAAGCATTTAAAAAAAAGAAAAGTTACAATGAGCAGCTATTTGTAATCGTAGACTTTAAATAATACAGTGAACAAACTGTTAGCGCAATACCTGCGAAATTAAAATATGGAACTTCAGGGAATTATTGACATTATAGAAGAGGAAATTCACCAACAAAGGTTTCTGTTTTTGCACAACACCTACTGTTAATGAATGTTGACGATGCAAGATGATAATTGTAATAGATTACGGAACCAATTATCGAACATGTAATATTCCAGATGAGGCAAAAGAGATATTGTGATGTAATGCAAATTTGAAAGAGTAAATATCCTCTCGTTATAATATCTATTATACTTTCTAGATATATGCTTTCATCATTCATTTCGGTTCATTTATAAATCCAATTCTACGAAGAAAATAAATAGTAATTATTTATCATTAAACCTTGTCGTTTCATGAATCTTCCATTTTAAATATATAATGTCATTATGTACATAGAACTGATTGTTATAAAGAACAGTTATTTCTTGAATATTCATCGTGTCCAAATCTGAAAAAACATGCAATGTGCTTATAGTGATGTATTATTTAAATCCCCTGTCAAAAATCGCAATTCTGTAAAAAAGAAAATCGATTTTGAGATTTTTATGTAATTGTGTAGTTCTTGTTATATATTTCCGAAAACAGTGCAATCTATTGGAATTCTGATGCTTTTTCCACAGTTTTACAAACGAATTACTGATGATACTGAAATAAGGGACAAAGTTGGATGTGTTTATACCTTTATTTTTCTCATCTTTTGTCTATGAAAGCAGCTGATATTCTTAATGTGGATGTCAATGGGCAGAGCTGGTTGTGGATGGAGCGCATGAGTAATCATGTCCATATACATCCATACCTAAGTCCAAAAATTTTCTTTTTTTTCTACTAGTGTGTCCCAGATTTTTAGCTATTTTACATGCTAGAAAGTTCAGAAAGGTTTTTAATTGAAGAAAAAGTTGTACTGCACAACATAGGAGAGCTGCGTTTTTTTTTATTTATGATTTAGTTTTTGAGAAAAATTCGGCTCTGTTAGAATGTAGCGGCAAGTGTTGGCTACATTTTCGCGCCAATCCGAGACCTGTATTATTAGATTGGGGAAGAAATCTGAGACGCTTAGAGACCTTCGTTTTGACCATGAGTGTAGGAACAATTCTTCAAGAACTCAATATTTTTGGCTGAAATTCTTATTGTAAGCATCCTGGGTTCGTGCCTACATTCCCTGAAGTTTTCAGCTAGATCGGTTGTCCTGAGGTGAAAACAGACTTTTGATAGGGTATGAGCCTTCATTTTAAAAGAAACCAAAAATTTCCGTAAAATAGGAGTAAAATAAAGTTTATTTGTTTTTATGTATATATACGAAATAGAAGAGGAAAACAATTGAAAATAAATTGACATATGAAAAAAATAAATAAATAAAATTTTTAATAATGATTGAGGGTGTGGGATGTGGGTGTGGATGTGAATGTTTGTCTTCTCTTCATCCACACCTAATTCTGTTGGAGATTAAACATATGGACTAAACCGTAGAAACGATCAACTATACTTGTTAAATGAGAAATCAAACTATTTGATTTACATTATCTACACTGTCTCATTCTACACGAGAATCATCCTTCAACTGTGATCTATAGTCATGGAACATTAATACAGTTACTAACAATAGCTGTTATTCATCGTCACCATCGTGTATTGACTATCGAATAATTATCAATGTCAGTTATTGTGTGTCAAGTACTCTTTGTTCTCTGTTGACATCCAGTATTGTAAATTCGTGCTGTACAACAACAACAACGATGTGTTTACTACGAAATCCGACCACATTTTCTCCATAATAGATAACAATGCTCCGTTCAACAAGTAAGTTCGTTGTACAACGGCATTATCAGACATCAAAAGTTGAAATGTATGGATCGAATTTGTATAACAAATTCTGACTTTTTCTCTCTAATAATAAATGCTGCGAAAATTGAAATACTTTCATCAGATAAACTGAATTTTTGAACAAGAATTCATTGATTGATCTCGATTCTGACAAATATCTGTTGAGTTCATTCATCATTGAGTGATTTTACAGCTTTTAAACATTGTTTTTTGTTAATCTGAATGATATATCCCACGACAATTTCACTATTGCTTCCTTATTTCACATGTTCTCTTATTGTTTAAGATTTGCTCGACATATATAAAAATATCTCATTTTCGTGATAGTTATTTTTTCCATTTCAATTTTCGATCACCTAATACATTTTTACACGTTTCGTTTTCAAAATATGGACAAAAATCTGAGCAACTATTTTTTCATACTTCGAAAAAGATACTTTTTTGTCCATGGGAGAGTATCAAGAAATGAGTAGGGGTGGCACATTACTATTACTTTTTATTACTTTTCCTCAGTAATTGGTAATAATAATTATTACTTTATTAAATGTTACTAGTAATAAAAAAATGATTACCTATTATCAGTAATAAAGTAATAAAACTTTGAAAGTAATACAAATAATTAGTAATTAAGTAATAAGTAATAACAAGTAATAATTATTACTGTAATAAAGTAGTAATAAAACTATTTAATTGATCATGTCGCAGAAGCCCTTATTGCATAGGAAAAACACTATGAGAGGGTGTGGAAATGAGTTTGAGTTCAAGTGAGACTCATAACCACCCACAACCACACTCCCAAAACACCAATAACAGAACTACATGGACAACACAGCAAGCTATTGAATCATCATTTAGCTGCGCTAATTATATACAGAGGAAGCAAAGATCTTCTCTATCCCCTACTAATCTTTGCTATACTATGCTATTAGGAGATGCTGATGTGATTAGAAGATTAAGTCAAATATATTGAATACATTTTTATTTATCAATCATTATATAAGTTTATTTTTTGGTTGTGTAGCTTGTCAGATTTCTTGACATACACGCGTACAAGGCTACATTTTTATTGTCTTCTTATCTTAAGAAAAGATATTAAAATAAAATGTGGATGCTTGTTCATCAAAAATATGAATTTCATTTATTTTAACTAGTCAATAAAAAATAAAATCTATATGGTACAGTTTTTTTCATAAAATTTGCTCCAGGTTAACAAAAATGTCTTTCAATACAGAGTAACTAAAATAAAGCATTGATCCTTATTTATTTAATGACTCAACTTGCATAATAAAATTTACATATTGTTAAAATTTGAAAAATAGAATCCTAGTAGGCACTGGCATAATCTAAGACTATTAGTAATGGTAATGACAGAAATTAGAAAAAAAACGATGAGTGCTTTCTTCGTTTACACGAGTAAAACCTCATTACCCAACGATTTAATTTTCTAAGTTTTGGTTAAGTATTATTTTAAATAAACTTATTCTTCATAATCCAAAAACCAGACTTCCTCTATCAATGAGATATAAATGTTTAGATCCATTTTTATCTGGAAAAATGAAATCTGATGGCCTCGTAATGCTTTGATGAGAAAGTGAAAATCTAATCGATGATTACAAGTATTTCTACTATCTTATTTGTATATTACTTATTACTTTCTTATTATTTATTACTGTTTTTTAATGGTCATTACTTATTACCGGTAATTAGTAATAACAATTATTACTTTATTAACATTATTCCTTTATTACACTTATTACGCTTCAAAATTATTACTTATTACTCAGCAATAAGTAATAAATGATGGTGTTATTATTTATTACCAGTAATAGTCATGTTCCACCCCTAATTTTTTTTGTACAAGATGGATTGGTTTTTCTTATTTCATCTTATTATCACCTAATATCTTTCATTTAAAAAAAAACAAAATATATCACTAGATGCAGCGAGAAAAGCTCTACACTTTACACCAGACAGCTTATTGTAATTGTTTTGTAAAAAAGGAAAATTCTCTGCGATCAATTTTCGCATAGTCGAAATTTGATCGTTTTCAATTTTGACCACTTTTAAAGTAAAAAGCGTAACTATAAAAAAGCGGTCCTATATAAATTGTAGAGCTGTTCACGCTGCATCTTATGGTATATTTTGTTTTTTTGATACAACGTAGTAAATTGTGAAAAAATGAAATGCAAAAGTGGGACATTTATTATAGCCCACTCGTTAGTTAGATTTTAATCATTAGTCGATTTCAATCGTGAGATTCGAGCAGAAGCTGTTCATAATTTTCAACGGGTTGTTCGATTATTGATACTTGTACATGGATTTAAAGTAATGCAATACTTTAGGAATTACTGATTTTTAATGGTGTAACTCGATTGAAATAAGTTTGATGAGTATAGAATGAGTGGATTAGAGATGAGATCACAAGAAGTCACTGAAATATGACTTATTGCTTATGAAAAATTGATTATTGTGCTCACATGCCAACGAAATCATTCTCAAAATGAATCAACCTTGTATTTCTTTGAAGTGAATGTGAATTATATAGCCTCCCCATGAAAAATACTTATAAAGAAATCAAGATTATTCTTGATGGGTTTGGGTGTGAACGTAGGGAGAGAGGCATACGTACACCTACACTAACACTCTTCATTCTATAATTTAACGAGCGGGTTACTTACTTTCGCTTACATCTAACGCCATTATACGTTTGCTCTGAAAATTATCAATTTGTTCTTATATAAATTCATTTTTTTAAAACCTCTATTGCTTTTAGACAAGAAATACTAAACAACTTCTGACAAAAGATTCAACCAAACTGCTTCATACAGATTTTAGAATACAGGTTTCGGCTGAGGAAGCATTTTTCCTAACGAAATAATGTACATTTTTAACTTATAACTAGGCTTATTGTTCACAGGTTATAAATGAACTAAACCAGAATAAAGATATTGTATTGGTAGAAAACCACAATGAGCATTTATACACAAAATAGTATTTTTCCGATTTTTTTCTGATTTCGATAAGAAGAATTCGATTTTCAACTTTTCCATCTGACAACCCTGACTAATACCTGTGCAACGTATCATTTATTGTGGCTGCAATATCGATACTATATGCTGGTAATAAAAATTAACTTGGAACGTTGCTTCAATCTGTAGATTGCAACTATTGAATATAAGTACGTTTTATAATGATAATTTGTCAATTCATTTAAAACATAACTTTAACAAGGTAAAGGAACCAACTGAACAATATTCTTCATCATTATTCCACAATCATGTGTTGTAAATATTCATGTAACACAATCTCCATTTGATACAGCAAAAGCAGCAAAAAAGAGAAGCAGATGACCTTTAGACGACGAAAATTGTCGAGTTTCGTGTTGCTTCTGTTACTTTTGTGATCTTATCTCATCTAGCTATCTTTTTCTTTATCGAATTGATATTCTGTAGAAAACTAACTCACTCATTATTTTCTTAAATAATTGAATTGTTGAGCTACTTTTTCGATATTTATGTTGTGGTTAACTTATATATTTTACATTATATCATGGATTATCAGCAAAACATATAAGTTGTTGATAGTAATATAATGATCTTTTTTCTTTGAGTACAAGGTTGTTAAATAATCTGTATAGTTTGCGCGAAGGTATGCATGACTTTTCCTTGATACTGTGATCATTCCTTGTTCGCAATAGGAGATTGTAGAAACCGACGTATTTGGGTGGGTGTGGGTGGGGTGTGGGTTGTGGGTGTGGGTGTGGGTGTGGGTGTGGGTGGGTGAGGGTGTGTGGGGGTGTCTGGATGTGGGTGTGTGGTTGAGAAGAAGACTCACATCCACACACCTACACCCCACACCCATACCCACACCAATCCACGCCCACACCCTACCCACACTCACACCCGCATGATTGTATCGTAAAGTTTTGTTTTTCTTCTTTTTAAATTTATTTGGTCTTTTTATGATACATGTTTCATGCAACTTTGTACACGTACGCATGATATGTTGATTAGACTGACGTATAATGATAGATATGATTCATAAGAGAAATAATAATGTTATTCACTTCATGAGTAAAATATTTTTTTCTATATATAGATTGCATAAGAACAGAACCAGCAAGTAAGTATAAAAAGAGCTTGCCAATAGAAAAATACTCTTGTTAATCAGTAAAAATCATATTTAAACAAAAAGCTAAAGAATATACATATACTAACGGAATAAGTAAAGTAAGTATCATTGTTTTTATTATTTCTAATTAGATATGATTTAATGTTAAAAGTAACATTACATTATTGAAAATATCACTCTTTATTAAATTTGCTCTTCTGATCATGCCAAACCGTTCTATGTATGGGCATGACAAGGCAAAGATAAAATATCATGGAAAGGCTTTCACAGCCTTTGTTTGAAGATATCTTTCTCGAATTAAAAAGAAACATAGAATGGAATTACTCAAATATTCATCCATATTTCAGTAGCGTCTTTTATCAAAGATTTTTTCGTCTATTTTACTCTATGGTTAATATATATATATATAATTTCTAATTTGATATGATACTGTTTTCGTAATATGTGGTCAATCTGCAATATCATTCCTATCGTTAATGTCGACGATACACTTTAGATCGAAACGTTTTCTATCTGAACGGAATACGGTTTGGAAATTGTAGACATGCATATGTAATTCTATTATGAAATAATACATATTAACTTCAGATTGAACAAGACAACTAAAATGAGATCTAAGCGATGGCTATCAAATTTGCAACATAAATACGCTCATAATCACGATTGCTGTAATCGAGTCACTGAATTCTTTTATAATTAAATGAATGAAATGAAAGATCTTTTTGATTATCCAACTAGTATCAATCATAGAAAAGAGTTATTTTAAATGATTGAGTTGAAAAAAACTACCTTATAGATACACTAAGGTGATTTTCAAATAAATTAAAATTCATTGGTAAACATGTTAAAATCAAACTAGACAATAAAATGTATCATTTAGTTAATAAAGTACAGTTTGGGTGTGGATGTACGTGTGGGTGTTCATTTTCCTTTAATATATACCCACATCCACCCTTACGCAAGAATCAGTGAAGGAAAATTGGAAAAGGAAAGGGATAGAATCACAGGCTCATTTATTGAGTAAATTAAAAACAAATCTCTAGTTTGTTTTTGATCCTTTCAAATGTCTCCTTATAGTCTAATACATGAGGATGACTTGAAGGTAATTTATCTTGAACAATTTCTAGCGATTGTTGAGCATTTTTCATTGCAGTATCATATTGTCCAGTAGCCAAATATAATTTCGCCAAATTATGATAAATTATAGCAAAACGAGGATGAGTTTTGGGTAATGTCTTTTCGCATATTTCTAATGCTTTTTGAAAATATGTCAATGCAGTTGAATAATCTTTTATTTCACGATATGTTTCACCTAAGTTTGTGTATGTTGTTGCACAATCCAGAGGCTTATATTGGGAAGTTTCTTGAATAATCAATGCTTTTTGATGAAATGACAATGCCTTTTCATAATTACCCATTAACTGATGAACATGACCAATGCAACTTAATGTAACAGCTTGAACAGAGTTTTCTTTTGGTAACGTGGGTTCAACTATCGCCAGGCACTTTTCAAAATACTCAAGTGCACTTGAGTAATCTTTCATACTGCAATAAATCTTTCCAAAACAGCTGTATGTTGAAGCAAAAATCTGATTTCCTTCTTTGAATGTTTTTTGCTGGATTTGGAAAGCACTCTCAGCAGCCTTAAGAGCCGCTTTGTAATCACCTATTCTTTCGTAATAACCTGCAAACGTTAAGTGACTGGTAGCCAAAGCTGGATGATTTGGAGGCAGAGCTTTAATTCTGATCTCTAGACTTTTTTCATAAAACTCTACTGCTTTCCAGTAGTGAGCCAGGTTGTCATATACCACACCGATAAAGTAGTAAGAAGTAGCTGATGAGGGATGATTCGGAGGCAGAACTTCCATTTGGATTTTTAAAGCGTTTTCGTAAAATTCCAGTGCTTTCGAATAGCTATCCATATTGTTATATACAAGACCGATACTGCCGTAGGAAATAGCCAAATCTGGATGATTCAGAGGGAGAACTTTCATTCGGATTTCTAGACCTTTTTCGAATAATTCGAGCGCTTTCGAATAGTTACCCATATCGTCATATACACGACCGATGTTGCCGCAGAAAATAGCTAAATCTGGATGATTCGCAGGCAGAAATTTCATTCCGATTTCTAGACTTTTTTCGTAAACCGTCAGTGCTTCTGAACAGTAATTCATCTCGCTATACACTACACCGATATTGTTGTAACAATTAGCTATTAATGCGTGATTCGGACGGGAAAGTTTCAGTTGGATTTCTAGACCTTTTTCGTATAATTCTAGCGCTTTCCAATAGTCACCCATGTCACTGTATACTAAAGCGATGTTGTTGTAAGAAGTGGTCAGTGAGGGATGATTCGGCGGGAGAACTTTCATTTGGATTTCTAGACCTTTTTCGGCTAATTCTAGGGCTTTCGAATAGTCACCCATGCCACTGTATGCTAAAGCGATGTTGTTGTAAGAAGTAGTCAATGAGGGATGATTCGGAGGGAGAACTGTCATTTGGATCTCTAGACTTTTTTCGTATAATTCGACTGCTTTCGAATAGTTACCCATATTGTGATAAACCTGACCCATGTTGCCGCAGAAAATAGCGAAATCTGGATGATTCTCAGGCAGAACTTTCATTCCGATTTCTAGACTTTTTTCGAAAACCGTCAGTGCTTCTGAACAGTAATTCATCTCGCTATACACTACACCGATATTATTGTAACAATTAGCTAATAATGGGTGATTCCGACGGGAACGTTTCAGTTGGATTTCTAGACCTTTTTCGTATAATTCTAGTGCTTTCGAATAGTCACCCATGTTACGGTACACAAAAGCGATGTTGTTGTACGGAGTAGTCAATGAGAAATGATTCGGAGGGAGAACTTTCAGTTGGATTTCTAGACCCTTTTCGGATAATTCTAGTGCCTTGGAATAGTCACCCATGTCACTGTATACTAAAGCGATGTTGTTGTAAGAAGTAGTCAATGAGGGATGATTTGGAGGGAGAACTTTCATTTGGATTTCTAGACCTTTTTGGTATAATTCTAGTGCTTTCGAATGGTCACCCATGTTACGATATACTGAAGCGATGTTGTTGTAACAATTAGCTAGTAATGGATGATTCGGAGAGAGAACTTTCAGTTGGATTTCTAGACCTTTTTCGGATAATTCTAGTGCTTTCGAATAGTCACCCATGTCACTGTATACTAAAGCGATGTTGTTGTAACATTTAGCTAATAATGGGTGATTCGGACGGGGAAGTTTCAGTTGGATTTCTAGACCTTTTTCGGATAATTCTAGTGCTTTAGAATAGTCACCCATGTCACTGTACACTAAAGCGATGTTGTTGTAAGAAGTAGTCAATGAGGGATGATTCGGAGGGAGAACTTTCATTCGGATTTCTAGACCTTTTTCGTATAATTCTAGTGCTTTCGAATAGTCACCCATGTTACGGTACACTAAAGCGATGTTGTTGTAACATTTAGCTAATAATGGGTGATTCGGACGGGGAAGTTTCAGTTGGATTTCTAGACCTTTTTCGTATAATTCTAATGCTTTCGAATAGTCACCCATGCCACTGTACACTAAAGCGATGTTGTTGTAACAATTAGTCAATGAGGGATGATTCGGAGGGAGAACTTTCATTTGGATTTCGAGGCCTTTTTCGGATAATTCTAGTGCTTTCGAATAGTCACCCATGTTACGGTACACTAAAGCGATGTTGTTGTAACAATTAGCTAGTAATGGATGATTCGGACGGGGAAGTTTCAGTTGGTTTTCTAGACCTTTTTCGGATAATTCTAGTGCTTTGGAATAGTCATCCATGTCACTGTACACTAAAGCGATGTTGTTGTAAGAAGTCGTCAATGAGAGATGATTCGGAGGGAGAACTTTCATTTGGATCTCTAGACCTTTTTCGTATAATTCTAGTGCTTTCGAATAGTCACCCATGTGACGGTACACTAAAGCGATGTTGTTGTAAGAATTAGCTAATAATGGGTGATTTGGGCGGGGAAGTTTGAGTTGGATTTCTAGACCTTTTTCGGATAATTCTAATGCTTTCGAATAGTCACCCATGTCACTGTATATTAAAGCGATGTTGTTGTAAGAAGTGGTCAGTGAGGGATGATTCGGAGGGAGAACTTTTATTTGGATTTCTAGACCTTTTTCGGATAATTCTAGTGCTTTGGAGGAGTCACCCATGCCACTGTATGCTAAAGCGATGTTGTTGTAACATTTAGCTAGTAATGAATGATTCGGACGGGGAAGTTTCAGTTGGTTTTCTAAACCTTTTTCTGATAATTCTAGTGCTTTAGAATAGTCTCCCATGTCACTGTATACTAAAGCGATGTGGTTGTAAGAAGTCGTCAATGAGAGATTATTCGGAGGGAGAACTTTCATTTGGATCTCTAGGTCTTTTTCGTATAAGTCTAGTGCTCTCGAATAGTCACCCATGTTACGGTACACTAAAGCGATGTTGTTGTAACATTTAGCTAATAATGGGTGATTCGGACGGGGAAGTTTGAGTTGGATTTCTAGACCTTTTTCGTATAATTCTAGTGCTTTCGAATAGTCACCAATGTCACTGTACACTAAAGCGATATTGTTGTAAGAAGTAGTCAATGAGGGATGATTCGGAGGGAGAACTTTCATTTGGATTTCTAGACCTTTTTCGGATAATTCTAGTGCTTTCAAATAGTCACCCATGTTACGGTGCACTAAAGCGATGTTGTTGTAACATTTAGCTAATAATGGATGATTCGGACGGGAAAGTTTCAGTTGGATTTCTAGACCTTTTTCGTATAATTCTAATGCTTTCGAATAGTCACCCATGTCACTGTGCACTAAAGCGATGTTGTTGTAACAATTAGTCAATGAGGGATGATTCGGAGGAAGAACTTTCATTTGGATTTCTAGACCTTTTTCGGATAATTCTAGTGCTTTCGAATAGTCACCCATGTCACTGTACACTAAAACGATGTTGTTGTAAGAAGTAGTCAATGAGGAATGATTCGGAGGCAGAACTGTCTCTTTTATTTGAAGAGCTTTTTCATGAAACTGGAGTGCTTTTAAGTAGTCACCCATCTTGTTGTGCACTTGACCGATACTTTCATATGGAATAGTCAAATTTAAGTTAGTCAGTGGCAGAACTCTCAATCCGATTTCTAGACCTCTGTCGAAAAATTCCAGTGCTTTCGAATAGTCACCCATAGTGGAATATACAAGACCGATGCTGTTGTAAGAAAGAACCAAATCTGGATGATTCGTAGGCAGAACTTTCTCTTTTATTTGATGTGCTTTTTCGAAATTTACGAGTGCTTTTTCGTAGTCACCCACGTCGTGATACATTTTACCGATAGTGTTGTAAGTACTAGCCACACTTGGATGATTCGAAGGAAGGGCTTTGGCCTGGATTTTACATGTTTTTTCAAAAAATTCACGTGCTTTTGAGTAGGCTCCGATGTCGACTTGTGTTGCACCAATGTTGTGATAAGACTCAGCCAAGTCGGGATGATCTTCAGGCAGAACTTTTTCTCTTATCGTATGTGCTTGCTCTAAATATTGTAGAGCTTTCAAGACATCACCTTCGGCTTCATACGATAGACCGATATTGTTGTAGATTTCAGCTAATGTTGAATGATCTTTAGATAGATTTAGTTGAGAGATTTCACAAGCAGAGTTGTAAAATGAAATTGCTTCCTTATATTGTCCTTGAATAAATTTCACGTCTCCAAGCATCTTAAGGATATATGCCTTTTCGCTGTCGTTCGATGCCTGTGCTAATAGTGCGGCATGCACTTCTTCAGCTTTGTCCAAGTGACCCATTTTGAGTAGTAACTTACCCATTCGATACCATCCAGTGCCGTCAACTTCTTTTCGTATGTGTTTGAATAAATCACGAAGTTGTTGGTCATCATCCAAAGTGAGCTTAAGGTCCACTTCGTAAAGTGGACGATCTCTGTCAATTCTTCGAATGTCACCAATTCGAAAAACCGTGTGCATACCAAAGAGAATTTCCTCTTCTTCAGCGAAATCACTCAGCTCTTGGATGAAGGCAAAAGGTGTGGATGAGACAGTAAGATCGATAAGTATTTGGAAAAGGATACCGACTTTATCAATTGATTCTAAGGCACTTTCAGCAAAGCAAAGCGAGACTTCTCGATTGGTACTGGTGGATAGAAAGTTATTGAATGATATAAGTCCACCTTGTTTTTTAACAAGATTTTCGAAGTCTACTTTCGAGAATCTTTGTCCTCGAAAGACTAGAAATGTGTGCGTATGACCATGGCTGATTTGTTTGTTGTATAGTTGTTCAATTTGCCGATGTAGATCACACAGATAAAACCCCATTTTGATCAGTATGTGGCTGTCTAATGTTCTTAATGCTAGATTGAGCATTTCGTACGTGAAACTTTGGCGTGTGTACCACCAGATAGCCTTAGACGGATGGTACGTGCGTTGAAATTCATCAATAATTTTCATTGTTTCAACATTGTCCTGGTACTCTTGTTGCCAAAATGTTACCAAGTTTTGGATGGCCTCTTGGTCGTGCTCCATATTAAGGAGGATTTCCTTGAATATTTGAGTATACATGAACGATGGTTCTAACTGATTGAGATTTTCGTTAGAGCTCCCTTCAAGCGCATCGATAATACTGACTGATATATTATCTTTATTGTGTTGTTTGACAGTCAGTCGTAACGCCTCACATATTGATTTCATGGACGCATGAACACCTTTGATTTTTGTCCAACTTTCTGTCCATACTTCATGCTTTTGTCTGTTGTCACACAAAATGTATATGCTACTTAATTTTGGTACATCATGAATATTTGGCACCAGATGTTGTCCAAGTGCATACGAAGAGATTACAAATGATATTTCCTCAGGATTTTCATTCAGTAACTGAATACAATTGTCTGCTGTTGTACATTGCTTGACTTGATTTACAACACTACGTAACAGTACAAGTGTATTCTGACAATATTCATTATCCTGGTTAATCTTTTCATCTACCCAGATAATCACGTAGGTTTCAGCAATGCGTCGTCTTCGTTGTCGACTCATTGTTGATGTAATGTTTATTGTTTGATTGAGAAGCGTGAATGATGTAGGATAAGTTGTCACCTAGACAGAATTCACTTTTTGTATTTATACATTAGATGCATATTAAGCAAATCAAAGGGGAAAAGACAACAACGTTATTTATCAAATGATAATTTTTTCCCACCTTCATTTAGGTTTCATGTCAACCATCACTTACGTTTTATCACATTCAATACTTTGTCTCATATGTTGTATATGTTTTTTTTCGATTTTTTCAAAAGAACTTTTTTCTCTTGCTGATAAGAACGAAAGAAAAACCAAGAACTTCATGTGTATGATATCTTTCTCGAACTATGTACGTATGTAATTGTCATGTTGATAATACGAATGAAACAAGAAGAAAAACACAATTTAAATTTTAATTGGGTGGTGGATGTGAGTGTGGGTGTGGGTGTGGGTGTGGGTGTGGGTGTAGGTGTTGATGTGGGTATCGGTGTTGCTAAAGAGAAGATTTACATACACACACCCATCCACGCCCCACAATCACACCCACCCACACCCACACCCACACCACATCCACATCCAAAGTACGTCGAATAACAGTCTTATTAAAGTCGCATCTTGTCCTTTTTTTTCGCTTTGTTTCAATTTTCCCAATTTATCAGGCAAAAACATTTGAGTGAGAAACACAGTCACTACTTGACGAATGCAAAAGTCAACAATCAACCTGTATGAGGATTGTAACTATCAAAATAATTTTTTCCTCGATCCATCAATAAGCTAGTAGGGATGCAACGGTGACGATTAATCGTTAACCGCTCTACCGTTATTAACGGTGAACGGTGAAACGAACAACCGGTGAACCGGGGCCCGATGGACCGATCAAACCGGTGAACCGGGGCCCGGTGGAGCGATCAAACCGATGAACTGGGGCGCGGTGAACCGATCAAACCGGTGGGCCGGGGCCTGGTGGACCGATCAAACCGGTGGGCCGGGGCCTGGTGGACCGATCAAACCGGTGAAATGGGGCCCGGTGGACCGATCAAACCGGTGAAACGGGGCCCGATGGACCGATCAAACCGGTGAACGGGGGCCCGGTGGACCGATCAGACCGGTGAACCGGGCCCCGATTTTAGTGCATATTGGGCGTACTCCTAGGTCCTCATATACTATATATTGGGGGACCCCCAATATATAGTATATGAGGACCCAAGGCTAGGGGTGGGAAGTTACCGTTACTAGGCCGTTCCGTTCCCGAGTAATGATAACGGTAACGGCTCGTTACCAGTTACCTGGGAACGGGGTAACGGAAAATGCTCTCCGTCCTATTTTCTTTATGAAAATTTTTTTTGAAAAAAATCTTTTGGTAAACAAATTATTTTGGTAAAGAAGATTTTTTACAACAAAATTTTGGGGTGTTCTCGAAAAATATTATTTTTTCTCAAAAAGTCTACTTCTGCGTTAAAAAAAATTTTTTTTCAAAAATCATTTTCATAAGGAAAACAGGAAGGAGAGCATTTTCCGTTACCCGGGAATGGAACGAGAACTTTCCACCCCTACCCAAGGGTACCGCCAATATATAGTATATGAGAACCTAAGAGTACGCCCAATATGCACTTAAACCGGGGCCTGGTTCACCGGTTTGATCGTTCCACCTGACCCCGGTTCACCGGTTTGATCGTTCCACCGAGCTTCGGTTCACCGGTTTGATCGGTCCACCGGGCCCCGTTTCACGGGTTTGATCGGTCCCCCGGGCCCCGGTTCACCGGTCTGATTGATCCACCAGGCCTCGGTTCACCGGTCTGATCGTTCACCGTTCCAGAGCGATGAAACGGTGACGGTGAAGCGAGTTCTGATCGTCACCGTTGCATCCCTATAAGCTAGGAAGTATAAAAAAAGAAAAAAACGAGCTTTTGTTCTAACAGCAATATCGTCTCGAGTGTTTTTCAAGAGGAGCATATATACATAAAATTCATGATTGATAAGAATACGAAAGAAAATAAAAGGCTTTGTTTATGAGATAATACAAGCTAAAGACTGACGCTGACGCTGTGGTTGTTGATCTGCTAAACGCTTAGCTAACCGTTGCATCGGTTCAATATAGTAAGAGCGCATCCATGACATTTTGTACGTCATAATCTTGTTTACTTGTCGAGCACGACCAGCAACTATGATAGACGACACAGCAAGAACTTGATGACGAACTTGACTGATCTCGTAGAATTTATTCAATGAATTTTGACACAATGCATCACTTTGAAAGAACACTTTATTATCGAGGACATCTGGACTGAAAGCATAGTAAAAAACGAGCAGTTTTTTTGTTCATTTACTGATAAACTTGGTCAATTGCTATAATTAGTTAGACGACATATATCTGGATCATCATTACAATCTATTGAGAAACAAAACAATTAAAATAGTACATCAATTTTGCCACATCATTGTCAGCAACTGTCACGATGCGGCCAATATCCTTGATAACAAATTCGTTCCTCTGTAATAAAGCTATCTATGATGTTTTGCTTCGTACTCAGTTATGAGTTGTACCTGACGTCAAAAAGGATTTCAAATGCTATTAAAGACAGTGCATCGCGACTGCCTATATATAGAGTTCTTCGAGTAAGTTGGAAAAAATGCTGAAAAGTTTTGTAGATAAGATACGAGATAGAGATATAGAGAGCAGAAGTCTGCGAATATGTCTATTGAGTCCCAACCAATGCACTATGGGTGTGGGTGGGACTGGGGGCTGGGGGTAGATCCCGTCGGGTAGGACCCGGACCCTACCCGGACCCGCACGGGTCCGGGTCCGAGTCCGGGTCCAAAAATTTTGTTTTGACCGGGTCCGAGTCCGGGTCCAAAAATTTTGTTTTGACCGGGTCCGGGTTCGGGTCCAAAAATTTTATTTTGACCGGGTCCGGGTCCGGGTAGAAAAATTTTAAATGATCGGGTCCGGGTCCGGGTTCAAAAATTCTGAACCCGACGGGGTCTACTGGGGGTGTGGGGATGGGGGTGGGTGTGGGGTGTGGGTGTGGAGTGTGGATGTGGGGGTGTGGGTGTGGAGTGGGGATGTGGGGGTGGGGGTGGGGGTGAATGGGTGTGTCGGTGTCTTTATGTGGGTGTGAGATGTTGGTATGAGAGGTGATAACTCTTTATCTCCATTCATAGAAACAAATCTAACCGCCCACACTCACACCCACACCCCACACCCACACTCACACCCACACCCACACATGCATTGAAATCAATCTGAAAATAGTAGTGTTACAATAGAAATTAAAATGAATTGATTAAGCTATGATGACTAAAAGTCACAAAATAAGTTGTTAGTGTCGCCAGAAATGCATATCTATCTGTAGATTTTACTTTCAATGATCCCTTAATTTCTTCCAGAAAATGGATAAACTTTTAAAATTTAAAATATTTTACATTTACCATATTTGTTGTTATCCATACGTAGTTTGCACCGAGAAGTTTTTCAAAAACTGCATGTTGAATAATTCTTGTAGATGAACTATGATTAGCCCAGACTAGTACAATACGAGATCGACTTTTTTCTAATGTTTGCTTTAAATCAGCTTGAAATTTATCAACTCGTGGATCAAATACTAATCGCTCTTGAATAGACAAATTTGCATAATAAACTTCTGATAATAGTTTCAATCCACCATAACCATAATCATCATTTCCAATAATTATTGAACAAGTTATCCACGAAAAATATTTGAGCAATTTCACAATAGCTTCAGCCGTAAGGATATCCGAAGGGATAGTACGATAAAATGTTGGATAATTAAATGTATCGTCAAGATCAGCATTAGTTACAGTGTAAGAAACAAGGGGTAAACCTATACGTGCCGCAAATGGAGCAAGATAGCGTGCACTAGTTGAACTTGTTGGCCCGTCAACACCTAGAACATGCAGTTCTGTTTTATTAGTAATTGATCGACAGACAAGCTCAAATTCAGCAAAACCATTACTATTTGTATTTGTCTGAAGAATAGTGCCATTGATAAGATGACCAACCACATAGATCTTGTAGCGATCGGCAAGAATAATAGCTGCGCGAAACATTTCCATAGATTGAATTGACCAATGGGAATTTTGATTTGCGTTCAAATACCGAGAAAGTACATCATGATATTCAGGGAAAAGACCAAGAATTTCAACAGTATTCAAAGAATCAGGATGTTGAATCAAGCAGACAAGTAAAATAAGAAAGCGAGACATAATTATTCCAGGAGAATGGAATAATCTGAAAGAGTTGTCTCTAATAGATTTTCAATACATATCATGAATACTTTTTTTTAATTTTGTTGAACAGATGGAAGCTCTTTTGTAAAAACTGGAAAAATCATAATTTAAATGATGATAATGAAAACAATATATTAATAATGAGTTTTTTGCTCTTATCTCTTTCATGATTTATTGCTCGTAGTTATTTTCAATTTGCATATTGTCTAACGTTATCACAAATATTATTGTCAATATACTTGTGTATATCAAACAATCTTTATACGAAAAAATCTCGAGAATTGTACTAAAGAATCATCTCGATAATTTCTATTAAAAAAGATCTTGTATCTGCTGATCATAATCCCTCTATGAGTTTAATATCGTACTTTGAAATTATTATCATTCAATCACCGACAAATCGATGTCATGTTAATGCTAACTTTCCTATCATGGTGATAATTGAGAAAAAACTGTAAAACCTAATGAAACCAAATAATTGACAAATATTTTATGAGAATAAACTTTTCTTTTCTAATAATTATCAACAAGACATGTTTCTTCGACAGATAATCATATGACCACATTCAACGTCTATTCGTCATGGGTGTGGGTGTGGGTGTCGAAATGGGCGTGGATGCATCAGTCTCTCCCTTTTCCTCCACACCCACCCCACACCCCACACCCATACCCTTAAGTGTTTGATCATTTTTTTAAAATTTCATTACAGCTTTTTTCGTATAAGTGTTGCTTTTCATTCTAAATTATCCTACATCACTATTATTTTTCTTCATATTTTTTTAATATTTTATTTTTGAATGAAGATCTTCAAAAATTTATTTGAGTCAGTTATTTTAGTTCATCGCTCTCGTTGATTTAGAAAAGTACGTCATCTCTCGTTCTATCAGACTTATAGATAAAAAAAATTAACCAATGAATGTTTTTTTCTTTTCTCTTATTCACAGGATCAATACGGTGAATACCCTAATTATCAATTATATTTCTAGAAAATAAATGTCATGAATGAAACAATAGACGATAATAAAATCGAATCTCAACCACTAATAATACATGTTGTTGAAGGTTCTATTACATCTCGTATGAAAGAAATAACAAAACGACCAAAATGTGAACGTAGTTCAAGTAAAGAATACTATGAATAATCACAATATTTTTATTATTATGATTTTACTTAGCTGTTCAGATTCTACCACCGGCTATGTTTTTAATAGGAATCTGAAATAGAATGTACAGATACATTCTGTTTTTCAGGACACTATGTATTCATACACGTTATTCTTTAAACCAAAGTGTACAAAATGTACAAGAAATATGAATCGAATGGCCAACCACAGATATTCATTTAGCTAATGTTCCATTGATAGCATTATAGCTAGTGTTCACTCTCTAAATCACACTGTGGAATACTTTTCATCAGGATAAACACCAGAGATCATGTTACTAGTCGAACATGAGCTGAAGGAATACCTCTATCTTCTGGCATTTCTTTTTGTCATATACTTTTAAGCTCTTCGGAAAAAATTTCAGTAATGCCTAACTTTCATTTTAAATGGTAAGAAAGGCAATATACGTAACTGATGCGAACATTGTACATGGGACATATAATGGCGCCCATATCTATTATTTCTATTGGACGTGATATGTACAGTATTCATGGCGTTCAAGAAATAAACCTTTTGCATTGTCTACCATAAAAGGATAAGGATCTTGTAAAAAAAACATCGTGTGAAAAGGAAATTCAGTGTGTACAGTGTACACACTATTTTTTTTCTTCAGCGTGTAAAACAGTATGTAAATTCTATTTCATTAGGGTACCGTACACTTTGTTTTGCTGGATACACTCTTTCATTAAAAACACTGACCATCAGCATCTAAAATAAAAAAAGGTCAAAGAGGTGGCACCTAAATCACCAGATAAAACAAAATGTACTATGGAAGAACAAGGAAAAATTTGTTAGTGAACTTCAAATTGTATGATGATATTTATTTATAAATCTATATTAGTTTGTTTTTTGTTTTCATCTTTGTTAATATGGGAAAATTTTCGAAGCATTCGGTCAATTCTTTAATACACGACGTTGTCTTGTAAATCCTGAAGCACAACAACGTATATTTGGTCCAATACGTCGTTTTTATTATCGTTCATTTCGTACAGTTTCAAAACTATATACATTTACTGAAGGTTAATATTCATTTTTTTTTACCCTTCTTTTATTAGAAGAAAAATCTAATGTTGATTCACTTGAATTATGTTCTATTCTTGCTTATTCATGTTTAAAATCAAAAGTTCGATGTAAGTTCTTGAAAGAAAAAAAAAAAAGAAATCTTTTTTATCAAATAATTTTCTTTTTATTTACATAGGTTTTGATAAAAAACCAACAATATTTGTTTTACATCAACTTATTCGTAATGGTAATGCATTTTTACGTGTAAAAGGATAACGAGAACATGTATCAATTATTAGTAAACCATTAAAACCACCAAAAATAACGAATACAATTGGTATAAAGAAAGAAATTCTTTCAAAAAGGAACAAAAAAAAGAAAGACTTGAAATATTTAGATTCATCAAAACAAACTGATCGTACATTATCAAAACATGTTAAAATTTTATTAAGTCCGTTATCAGCAAATGCATATATGCGTGTTGGATTATCATGTCGATATCATCATGTTGGAATATTATTATCGTGTTCCACAACAAATTTATGAATTAATCGATAAATTAACTCAATGTTGGCAATTAAATAATCATGCACAATATGTAAGTTTATTTCATATATATAAATAATTTATTTATTAGATTTTATTCTAGTTATTTAAAGATGATTTATCAACAGAGCAATTTATTTTATTTCCTCATGGATCGTATTTAAGATCAACTGATTCTCTCGTTGTAACAAATGATTCAACTTCAATACTTGATCTTTCTTAACGAAAACAATCACGTTCATGATCAGATTCTGAACATTCAATACAACCATTAACAGATTCATCTTTAAATATAATTTGTAAACAAAATAATTTATCAAAAAGTGAAGTTAATAACGAATCAATAGGAATTAATAATTCATCTGTATCTCTACTAGCAACAACAACAATAAGTACAAATAAATCAAATTTAGCACGATTAGGTATTTTATTAGCGGGAAAACAAGCGGCTTGTAATAATAATAATGTGAACAATTATGATGGATCAACTTTTACACTTATTGATAGTACAGAAGATGAAGCAGATAGCAATATTGGTTTATTTAAACAATGATTTGATGCTGTTGATCTTACAGATAAGATAAATTTATTCATAATCCATCAGATTTTATATTCAAACTTCGAATAAACGGGCTAAAATCTGTACGATGTATTATCAAGAACAGCAGTCTAATCTCGAATAAATTCAAAAAATTTCCTAGTTATTTTTCTACTATTAAATGTTACTCCATATATGTCACTTCTTGGATTCAAACGATACTCTATTCTACTCATACTAGCCTACTGATAAGTAGAATTCTCAAAAAAAAGTCATAAACCAACTATTTCTTTATGCTAATTGTATATATATCTTTGAAACTTTCTGAAAAAGCTTCTATAAATCTGCGATAATAGGTCTAAGTATCTAGAAGATCTAACGAGGAAACATTCCCAGCTATCAAAGCACTTTTCGCTTGAAACTATTACCATTCGATTGGTCTTGGTGCGTAGTGAAAAAGTCTGTTTTGGTTTGGTTTTTCGGTCTTCTATTGTCGACTTATGAGCGATTTACTCGATTTTTGAGCTATGAGCATAGGATCTCTGAGAACCTGATTGATCGAGTTTTGAGCTGAAATTTCGTCCAAACATAGATATTATAGTCACTAGAAACCCTCCAAAGTTTGAGTCAGAACGAACGCATTCTCACCGAGATATCAGCTTGTCATTGAAATGTCCTTGTTTTGAAGCACAGCCCAAAACAGGTGTTTTTTTAAATGTGAATATCTCGGTTAGAATGCGTTCGTTCTGACTCAAACTTTGAAGGATTTCTAGTGACTATAAAACCTATAATTTGGACGAAATTTCAGCTCAAAACTCGATTATTCAGGTTCTCAGAGATCCTATGCTCATAGCCTAAAAATCGAGTAAAACGCTCATAAGTTCACAATAGAAGACTGGAAAACCAAACCAAAACAGACTTTTTTACTACTCACCAAGAACAATTGAATGGCAATAGTTTCAAGCGAAAAGCGATTTGACAGTTGGAGACGTTCTCTCTTGAGCTTTAGAACAGATCTCTTTTCTCAACCCTGCGAGGGCATGACAGTGTATGTAAAAGTTTGGATTTATATCTAGTCAGCGATGGCGAAGGAGTGACTCAGAAAATATCCAAGTCAGAATTGATGCCATGCCGAATTAGACATAGAAATGGTTCACACAAAACAAAACGGTGATTCAGTTCTGGCATAATATTTTGCTCATTCATTACTTGAGTTAGTTTTTATTTGTGAAAAAATTAATTTAAATTAAGTAATTTTTTTTATCAATAAAATCAGTTTTTTATAATTTTTTGTAGAAAAACATTTTTAGAATTAGTAATTCTTTATCACAAATCAATGTTTAATGATTTTTGACAAAAATCACACTCAATGATGGATTATTGTTTTACATGATAATTATACAGGTGTTTTTGTAGAAATGATCTCATTTTTCTAATTGTTACTTCTTGTTTTTCCATTAGAGATGGACGAAATAGCAGTCACTTACTATCCCTGTGAGTGACTACTATTTCGTCCATCGCCATCGAGCGCAAGATTGCTCTGGAAAATTGAAAGCTTTCTCGGCGATGTAACATTAGTCAGACAAGTCATCTAAGGAGGAGATAACTGTAGGTGCCACTCGTGGTTTGTATTAAGTTATATATCAGATTGTGGAGCTCGATGAGCATAGTCCATTCGGTAAAGCGTTTTTCTTCATACCTAACCGGTCTTGAGCTCTCATCGTTTTACTAGATTTTCGACCTAATGGGAAGACATACATACAAAAATCAAATGTTGGAATTTCAATCTGAAATTTTGCGCAAAAGATAGATCTAATGACCCTTAGAATATCTCCAAAGTGTCACTCCAAACGAATGTTCTCTTCACAAGATACTGGATTTCCAAGAAATTCCAATTTTTTAATAACCCAGGTGATTCGATCCGACTGTCGGATTACGTCGGATTATATCGGATTATATCGGAAAAATTACCGGATTTTAACGGATCCGACGGGAACTCGTCGGAAGTTGTCGGCGTCCTAGCCACAGGATTCCGACAGGAGGTTCCGGATGTCGGAATAATCAGGATCCTGCGAAATCCCTGAAACTCCGACACTTTCCGACATCCAGAACCACTTGTCGGAATCCTGCGGTTAGGATTCCGGCGAATTTCTATCGGATTCGACAGGGTGAATTCGACCTGGGAACATTTTGCAAAATATAAGCTTTATTTGAAAATCGAATATCTTGTGAAGAGAACATTTATTTGGGCTGAAACTTTGGAGCTATTTTAAAGATCATTAGATCTATCTTTTGCGCAAAATTTCAGATCGAAATTTCAACATTTGATTTTTGTATGTATGTCTTGTCATAAGGTCGAAAATCCAATAAAACGATGAGAACTCGAGAATGGCTAGGTGTGGGGACGAATACTTTACAGAATGAACTATGCTCGTCGAGCTCCACAATCCGGTATATATATTAATAGAAAGTGCGCGTAGCACCCGGGGTCGCCTCGTAAGAGAAGCGAAGGTTTTCTTTTTTAATTCTGTGTGGAAATTTACGACGATTCAATGAAGCTTCGAAGAGTTGAACCAAATATGTCTCGTTGGAGCACCTATAGCAAATTATTTTATGACTTTACTACGAGAAATAGGAATTAGTGTATCTGATAGCTCAGCGAAGACGAGATCAGAACACACAATTTTGACACTAGTAAAGTTGTTTGTATCAATGATGAGCGTTAGACCGTGCTT